GAAGAACATGCATCCGACTTGTACGCGTGCTGGATTTCATGTCCGCACCCACATGGGTTGAAAAAACGTCCGTTTCTGAATTGGTCCGTTTCTCGCATCAAAGTGGCCGAGGCCAGATTTGGGACCACTTGCATGTTGACAACAACGCTACTGAATGCTTGCTCCCCCACTGTGTATCGCCTGCACGGGCAAACTGCTTTCAAACGGAGCGGATCCCAGAAAAAAAAACCATGGAAATTTGGGGCCATCAAGAATGCTATATGATTCCAGACACGCACTAATGTTTACTATATATCATTCGACACGCCATGGCACGGCAAACATGATGGTATAACGCAAAACATTAACGCACGTACAGTTTTGAAGGTACTTCCGAAAAGCTCTTTCAAACAGTGCTCGAGGTTGATTTTGGAATTGCTGCAAAAGCTTTTTGCCTGGACAGAAACACTTGCCGCTGCACATACACGCCAATTTGACCATGACCTTTCGTTCAGAAAACAGAGAAGTCACGTTTGGAAAATTTTAATTCTTCTCGCCAAACTGGCTTCCTCAAAATTTTCGGCGAACACGATGGTATAACTTAAAACAATAACGCACGTATAGTTTGCAAGTTATTTCCAAAAAACCTTCTCAAACGGCGCACGATGCTGATTTTGCATTTGCTGCACAAGCTGTTTGCCTGCACAGAAACACTTGCCATTGCACTTACACACTAATTGGACCATGCCCTTTCATTTAGAACTAAAAAAATCGCGTTTGGAAAAATTTCATTTTTTTCGACAAAATGGCTCCCCCCAAAATTTTCGGTCGGCACCCGGTGAGCAAAAATGTTGTCAACAAGCGGAAACATCGGCTTACATCGTTTGCAAGTTAAAGCACCGTTCGATTTTCATTGGTTCGCTAGATATGAGCTTGGAACATTTTACTAGCCGAAAAACGGTTTTTTTCAATCTGAACATGCATCCAATTTGTACGCGCAACTATGTTTTGCGCAACAACGCACTAATGTTTTGCTATAGATCATTCGACGCGCAATCGCACGGCGAACACGATGGTATCACTGAAAACATTAACGCACGTATAGTTTGCCAGTTATTTCCAAAAAACTCTCTCAAACGGCGCTCGATGCTGATTTTGCATTTGCTGCACAAGCTGTTTGCCTGCACAGAAACACTTGCCATTGCACTTAAAAACTTTTGGACCATGCCCTTTCACTTAGAAATGAAAAAATCGCGTTTCGAAAAATTTATTTTTTTCGACAAAATGGCCCCCCCAAAATTTTCGGTCGGCACCCGGTGAGCAAAAATGTTGTCAACAAGTGGCAACATCGGCTTACATCGTTTGCAAGTTAAAGCACCGTTCGATTTTCATTGGTTTGTTGGATATGAGCTTGGAACATTTTACTAGCGGAAAAACGGCTGTTTTCAATCTGAACATGCATCCAGTTTGTACGCGTGCTAGATTTCATATTGGCCCTCAAATGGGTCGAAAAAACGTCCGTTTCTAAAATGGGCCGTTTTTCGCATCAAAGTGGCCGCGGTCACATTTGCCATCACTTGCATGTGGACAACAACGCCACTGAATGCTTGTTCCACCACTGTGTATCGTCTGCACCGGCAATCTGCTTTCAAACGGAGCGGCTCTCAGAAACAAAACCATGCAAATTTGCGGCCATCCCGAATGCTAAATGTTTCCAGCAACGCACTAATGTTTTGCTATATATCATTCGACGCGCAATCGCACGGCAAACACGATGGTATAACTTAAAACATTAACGCACGTATAGTTTGCAAGTTATTTCCAAAAAACTCTCAAACGGCGCTCGATGCTGATTTTGCATTTGCTGCACAAGCTGTTTGCCTGCACAGAAACACTTGCCATTGCACTTACACACGTTTTGGACCATGCCCTTTCATTTAGAAATGAAAAAATCGCGTTTGGAAAATTTTCATTTTTTTCGACAAAATGGCCCCCCCAAAATTTTCGGTCGGCACCCGGTGAGCAAAAATGTTGTCAACAACTGGCAACATCGGCTTACATCGTTTGCAAGTTAAAGCACCGTTCGATTTTCATTGGTTCGTTAGATATGAGCTTGGAACATTTTACTAGCCGAAAAACGGCTGTTTTCAATCTGAACATGCATCCAATTTGTACGCGTGCTGGATTTCATATTGGCCCTCAAATGGGTCGAAAAAACGTCCGTTTCTAAAATGGGCCGTTTTTCGCATCAAAGTGGCCGCGGCCACATTTGCCATCACTTGCATGTGGACAACAACGCCACTGAATGCTTGTTCCACCACTGTGTATCGTCTGCACCGGCAATCTGCTTTCAAACGGAGCGGCTCTCAGAAACAAAACCATGGAAATTTGCGGCCATCCCAAATGCTATATGTTTCCAGCAACGCACTAATGTTTTGCTATATATCATTCGACGCGCAATCGCACGGCGAACACGATGGTATAACTTAAAACATTAACGCACGTATAGTTTGCAAGTTATTTCCAAAAAACTCTCTCAAACGGCGCTCGATGCTGATTTTGCATTTGCTGCACAAGCTGTTTGCCTGCACAGAAACACTTGCCATTGCACTTACACACGTTTTGGACCATGCCCTTTCATTTAGAAATGAAAAAATCGCGTTTGGAAAATTTTCATTTTTTTCGACAAAATGGCCCCCCCCAAAATTTTCGGTCGGCACCCGGTGAGCAAAAATGTTGTCAACAAGCTGGCAACATCGGCTTACATCGTTTGCAAGTTAAAGCACCGTTCGATTTTCATTGGTTCGTTAGATATGAGCTTGGAACATTTTACTAGCCGAAAAACGGCTGTTTTCAATCTGAACATGCATCCAATTTGTACGCGTGCTGGATTTCATATTGGCCCTCAAATGGGTCGAAAAAACGTCCGTTTCTAAAATGGGCCGTTTTTCGCATCAAAGTGGCCGCGGCCACATTTGCCATCACTTGCATGTGGACAACAACGCCACTGAATGCTTGTTCCACCACTGTGTATCGTCTGCACCGGCAATCTGCTTTCAAACGGAGCGGCTCTCAGAAACAAAACCATGGAAATTTGCGGCCATCCCAAATGCTATATGTTTCCAGCAACGCACTAATGTTTTGCTATATATCATTCGACGCGCAATCGCACGGCGAACACGATGGTATAACTTAAAACATTAACGCACGTATAGTTTGCAAGTTATTTCCAAAAAACTCTCTCAAACGGCGCTCGATGCTGATTTTGCATTTGCTGCACAAGCTGTTTGCCTGCACAGAAACACTTGCCATTGCACTTACACACGTTTTGGACCATGCCCTTTCATTTAGAAATGAAAAAATCGCGTTTGGAAAATTTTCATTTTTTTCGACAAAATGGCCCCCCCAAAATTTTCGGTCGGCACCCGGTGAGCAAAAATGTTGTCAACAACTGGCAACATCGGCTTACATCGTTTGCAAGTTAAAGCACCGTTCGATTTTCATTGGTTCGTTAGATATGAGCTTGGAACATTTTACTAGCCGAAAAACGGCTGTTTTCAATCTGAACATGCATCCAATTTGTACGCGTGCTGGATTTCATATTGGCCCTCAAATGGGTCGAAAAAACGTCCGTTTCTAAAATGGGCCGTTTTTCGCATCAAGGTGGCCGCGGCCACATTTGCCATCACTTGCATGAAAGCAGATTGCCGGTGCAGGCGATACACAGTGGTGGAACAAGCATTCAGTGGCGTTGTTGTCCACATGCATGAATGCTGAGAGCCGCTCCGTTTGAAAGCAGATATCCGGTGCAGATGATACACAGTGGTGGAACAAGCATTCAGTGGCGTTGTTGTCCACATGCAAGTGATGGCAAATGTGGCCGCGGCCACTTTGATGCGAAAAACGGCCCATTTTAGAAACGGACGTTTTTTCGACCCATTTGAGGGCCAATATGAAATCCAGCACGCGTACAAATTGGATGCATGTTCAGATTGAAAACAGCCGTTTTTCGGCTAGTAAAATGTTCCAAGCTCATATCTAACGAACCAATGAAAATCGAACGGTGCTTTAACTTGCAAACGATGTAAGCCGATGTTGCCAGTTGTTGACAACATTTTTGCTCACCGGGTGCCGACCGAAAATTTTGGGGGGGCCATTTTGTCGAAAAAAATGAAAATTTTCCAAACGCGATTTTTTCATTTCTAAATGAAAGGGCATGGTCCAAAACGTGTGTAAGTGCAATGGCAAGTGTTTCTGTGCAGGCAAACAGCTTGTGCAGCAAATGCAAAATCAGCATCGAGCGCCGTTTGAGAGTTTTTTGGAAATAACTTGCAAACTATACGTGCGTTAATGTTTTAAGTTATACCATCGTGTT